ATCTGAGAATGTATGAAAATTGTTTTTTTTCCATAACAACTGTTAAAATTGTTCCTTATATCTATCAAAAATAGTAGATAAAATAGTACTTTAACCGCAAGGGTAGATTAAATGATACTTTAACAGCGAGGATAGGTTAAAAACTTTATTTATTCTCGCACGTTTTTTAATTGATTCCATTTTTGAAAATGTTTGTATTCCTTTTCATAAGTTATTCAGGATTTAAATGGAAGTAGTTTGGATATGGCGTTTGTCGCCTCAGCCTGAATATCTGTTGGTAATTTACTTATTTCGTTTCGAGCCATTTCTGGCTCCAATTCAATCAGCAATCGACACGAAAGAGAATTAAAAAATATTGACTCAAAACTGACAACTAAAGAGACAGTTTTATTTATTTGTCAAATTACATAGAAACCAACACCAATCCAGCACAATATTTTTTCTACTCGTAATAAATTCCTTGAAATCATAATTTCTGAATATTTTTTAAAAAGTAACTCGCTATGGAAAAAAATATTGTTCTATACACGACGATAAAATTGCATTATCGTCTCCCGAAATTCTTTTCGGTTGACGATAAAATACCATTTTATCCAACTATTAATCTAAAAGAAAGAAAAATTATAAGATTTAAAAAATGCTGCTTACTTCTTAGCCCTTACACCTCAGAAACGAATTGCATAATATGTTTACATTTTGTAATCAAAGTGTAACGACCTTTTCAACAATGATGTGCCATAGACTCATATTAAAAAAGTTAAGATAGCTAAGAGGTGACTGAAAAATTAAGTGCCCACTGAAAAAAATTGTAATAAACAATACCATAATTGTAATAAATTACTACAATTATTGTAGTAAACACTATTGCGTTTTGCGCCTAAACTGGTACTAGGCATCACGTTGTAGCTTTTATTTCTGTAAATTTGTTGATCTCAAAATTAGTTAAATATACTTGATTTTACACGAAAATAACGAACAAGTAATTTTCAAATTGTGACCCCGTATATCGTCGATTTGTAGTTTAATTAAAGGATATTCATATTGCAGAAAACTACAAAGTGAGTATTGTGTATTTAAGACTTTCCTCATAATACTTTGGTCTAAGAGATATCTCTATTGCTACTTCTCAAATTGTGACTCTATATATTGGCGATTTATGTCAAAACTAATTAAATAAAGGATAGTCAGATTGCAGAGGAGTATAAAGCGAGTATCTCTATTCCTCTAATTTCCCATTATATATTTGAGACATTCCTAGACAAAGGATAGTCAGTTTGCAGAAGAATAAAAACGCACTATTTAACTGTAAATAAATATGTAATTCACAAATTACAGCTTTCAAAAATAATATGTTCTTTTATGCTATAATAATAATTATCATACCACTTAATCGTATGCGTTAGTATTGCTATTTTTATAAATAAATAAAATTAACGGAAAACCATTGAGTTAATGCAGTACCTCGCCGGTGTGGTCTAGGTAGCAGACCGACTATGATTAATAAACTACGGAACCGCCGGTTTCATTCACGAAAAACGTACGACCCCACCACGTCTATCTCCTCCGGCCCCCTCCACCTACCCTCCCCTAAAACCCACCCACAAAAGCGAAATGGTCCAACCAATAAGTTCCTTCGCCGGTACCACCTGAACATGGTATTGGACTGTACAGCACGTTGTTATCTTGACCTCCCTTGAGGTACTAACTGACTGCCGCTACTTTGAGTCAGTCGAGCTTTAGACAAATTCGCGACAGGTACTAGTAGTGCCAGCGCTTTGTAGGCACCCGGTAGTGTGCGAGATCCGATCGATGATTTGGTACTGATGCGTCCGCTATGGAGCCGAGTGTGGTTTTCCCCGGATTATTGTTCGTTCGCAGTGCAATCACAGTTTTCAAATTCGGCTTGAAAGAGTTTGGTACTTACTTTAAGCTAGGTAGGATATCACATTTATATTTTTCCTAGAATTACTTTTATAAAGCTTAAGCTAGGTTCCGATCAAAAATTATTGCTTTACATTAATTGAATAGTTACAGCACAAACAGCAAAAATAAAATATAAAGATCGCGGCTTTGATAAAACAATTACTGTAGAAAGAGTAACAAATAACAACACCTAATATCTACAAAACTTTTAAATAGTTTGTCATCTATCGACATTTAAAAGTCAATTAATATACAAAGTGTCTTGTTAAAATGATAACAAGATAATTACTTTATATTTTAACAACTTACATTAAATTTTTATCATCCAATACAATTGAGGTCTGAACTAAAAGTCTAGACTACACTTACACACCAAACCAAAACAAAATCCATAAGTTCTTTTACCTAGAAATGCATTACCCTATATAGAAACATTTATATTTCTTTACGGAACATTAACCTAAAATTAAAAACTGGCATATATCACTGAAAATAAAAACTGGCATATATCACTGATTTACAATTTATTACTAATTAAACTCAAGTAAATTAATTTACTATTTAACGAATTGAAACAACTAAACAAACAAATCTACTGTTTTAGTTTTTACTAAATATGTCGTATGATTTTTCATTCCCTTATCTCGTATTTTTTTGGAACTTTTATCCAAATTTTATCAAACTTTGACGTTAATCGTTCCATTTTCAATCTAATTCAGCGAATGAATTTAAAATTGTGCAAAAAATGAGTGCAAACTACGCTTTAAAGCAAGTAAAGAAGGTATTCCAATTTTTCAGATTTTAGTTCAAAAATTTTACCCCTGCTCCTATTACATCAATCCAGGTTACTAGATTATTTTTGAAAATTTTTGTGAGAATTTCTGTTTTCCTGAATTTCTGTTTCCAAAAATTACTAAAATATTAAAAATATTAAACAGCTGATTTACCGTTTATAATTTAATTGTTTGTTATTGGATTTCACTTGTTTAGTTGTGTAGTCAAACATATAACACAAATATATACCATTTAATCCTTGATAAAAAAAATATCAAGGATTAAATGGTATATATTAATTTCTTTGAAAACTTACAAACGAAATATATTTATAATTCTATGAATGTATCAAAATTTGTCAACATAATTATTGATAAGAGTATGCAGGTGCAACTAAATTTGTAAAATGGACATTTTTCATTTGAGTTGGTTTTTTCTGCTAAAGCATCGTTTATATGTATGTATGATTTTAGTCAAATTGATTACAAATAACTGTGTTTTATCATAATATTCAATAATTCTCTTTACTTCAACCTTATTAGATTAATTTGATTAATTCTGCATGTAGTGATTTTATTATTGACAAAAAACAAAATGATACTTTTATGAAACGATGTCCCATTTTTATTAATACCCAGAAGTCTTTCTAAATTCAATATACTAAAAAATTAATGTAAGTAAGGCCGAGAAGATATTTCACAGAAAATTATTTTAATGTAGGTTTCTTTCAATTTCTTATTAGAAGCTTGGATTCAATGAAATTTAATTTACATAAACAAACAATTAGGAGAAGTAATACATTATGTAATAATTTTTCTTTACTTTTATTTGCCTTTTAACAATATTCCACAATTTTCCTAATAAATAATACTGAGACAGGTATTAATACAGCACCACGTAACTCGTATGGTTTACTTAGATATCGCCAAGCTTCATTGTAGATCATATATTACAGGTTTAAACAGGTATTTCTGACGATAAACAATTCATAAACCTCTGTGTTTCACGCGTGCGTTTGAATTTCGGGGAAATCTTCCAAATCAAGGCTTCTTCTAGGAAGAAGACGAAGCATTATGTAAAATAGGTTGGTTATGGTTGTGACTTGAGCGAATTATTAGAAATAAAAATGGGTCAATTTTAAAAAATATCTTGTTTTTAGTAACGTAAGCTTTTCATATAACATATTTATTTTAGAATTTGTTCTTTTTATCTTAATGTCAATAGATTCGAGATTTTTGTCTAAAATATGGGCGTAGTGTTACTGTGACAATTAGCATCAAATTTTCTGCTTTCAGTACCATGCTCTATACTTACTTACTTACTTACTTACTGCCATTACTCGCTGACGAGTATTTGATACGCATCAGAAGAACGCAAGTCGTTTTCTTTCATGATCTTTTCTGTGTCTGAACAGCCCAATACGTGATGTTATCTTTCTTCCACACTCCGGACATTCAAAAATCTCATTACTTTGTTGCCTCTTTACTTTTGGCTTTTGGTTGTCGTTGTTAACTGAGTTTAGGAAGTCTTCTCCATTGCGTTCTATTGTGCGCTGCTTCTTCCCACTGATTCTGCATGTTTATCCTTGTTTTCATGGAAAATATTTTTGTATCTTCTGAGTTGTCCACCCCGTTTTCTCTTGACCTCTACAAGCTCACCGTAAAGAAGAGATTTCGGTAGGCGGTTTTCTTGCATCCTGCATACGTGGCCAGCACATCATAAGCTGGATTTAGTAAGCATGATCAAATGCTCATGAAGATCCTAGTTCACTTCATGAAGCGTCGGTTAGGTTAGGAGTTTAGTTATGTTATTAGGTTAGCTTTTTTCATTAAGTGACTAAGATCTTCATGAAAAGACGGAATACACTATGAGACTACGACATATATAAAACAAATATCAAAGTTGCTCTAATAAAATGTAGAACATGCTCTAAATTGAGTGTTGTAAACAATTTAAATGATATTGCAAAATTATACAAAGAAAACTACTCTAAAAATCGTCCTTGTTATTCCATTTTTTTTTTCTAAAATAAAGCCTGTACCAAAGTTTAAAGAATATATACCTTAAACTTAACTTTAAAGTATATATTCTTTAAAATGTGCCTGTACTGTGTACGTTAGCGATGAAACCGTACTGTGGCTCAGTCCCACATTTTTGGACAAATTAAATAAAAACTGCAGACTTAAAAGATTGATTTGTCACTTAAAAATATAATCTATAAAACCCGGGGTATATACATAAGATTGTAAATTTATTGAATATTTCATTACTGGCAAGTTAACATGTCCGTATTTTTGTTTCAGCAACTCTTGCCAAGATCATCTCAATCATCCTCGTTGCTGTGGACTGCTCCCGTGCAGCTCCATCCTACAATACAGACTTGTGGAGCAACCCTTGCTCGAACCATCTAGTACGCCAAGTTAGAAGTACCGCCGACAAAGAGTTGAACTTCTTTATCACCACTGTGAAAAAAAGCATGTTCAAAGAACTGAAGAATCTCTACCCAAAGGTAAGTTCAAAATTAGGTTCAATTTGAATGACAGACTTGTAATTTCTTAGTACAAAGACGTTGTAATTTCTGTAACAAATACAGTAACAGATAGATCTAAACAGATCCATCTGTTACAGATCTCTTAAAGATCTGTGCACCGAGAATTGTATTATACTTTCTCCTGAGACTAATTGCCAATAAGTTAATAATAATTTTCGTTTATTAACTATTTCTTTTATTTTCAGAATTTGAAGAAGGTGAAGGGCAACTGCCCCAGGCTTAACAAATTAATCAACCCCATCAAGAATACCGAAAACTTCACCATTGTAAGTATATTATATTGAAAGTTTTGTATGTAAATTATTTCGGGAATTATTTCTGGCTGACATAAAATTATAATTAAATATAGAGTTTTTATGTTTAAAGTAGTGATAAAAAAGGAAATTGCAGTTTTCAACTTATGCCCAAATCTATCAGTTAAAGTTATTTTTAACTAACTCTAAAACATGTAAATGAAAAAAATTAACAAATGCCGTCTTTCATGGTGCCAATACCGAGATTCTAACATTAGCCCTAGACTTATATTACCTATACTATAATTATCTATGCTCTGGTATGACACTTATTAATATTTATGCAGAAAAAAAGATAATCTATCATTGTGTAAATTAATTCCTCTCCATTTTCTGAATTCTGAATCTGTATTTGTAAAATTAGGTTAACCAAAACAAATATTAATCATTATCTATGAGCGCAAGATAGCATTATCCTTAAGAAAAATGGGAAATAGTCTCAAGAACAAGAGAATTCGGGACTAGAAATACAGTAATATAACTCTACAGGGAAATTAGTGGTTTCAATTATATATTTTGCTTAACTATTTGCTATCATTGACAATGACTTAAAAATACATCTAAAATTAATAAAATATCCGCAACAGCTTGCATTAGTCAGTTGTATCCATAGAGAAAGCCTAATAATATGCTTATAAAACGTACAATATAACATTTATAACTACAATTTATCTTGGCGCATGAAAGTCCAAAATGACATTACTTGCTAGTTTTGAAGTATAAGTTAGGGACAAAAGTTAAAGTTTTTAAATTTAAGTTTTAAGTTCTTTTTACTAATTGGAAATTACGACCACTTATTTTGGCGTTCTGAATGTTTACATTGATTAGGTTATACCAGTTTCAGTTTCAATTAGCATAGTTTGTTTCTCTAATAACAAAATAATATGTTAATTGAAACCAGATTTCTTCTATTAATTTCGAGCTTTAAGCTTCATTCAGAACATCGCAATTAGTTGGTTTCAATTACACTTTATACTTTTTAGTTTACGATCATTCGCAATGTTTAAAACACACAATTAAAATGAATAGAATATCCTAGCAACAACTTGCGGTAATCAGTTGTATCCATAGAGAAAGCCTAATATTTGGCTTATAAAACAATACATTTTTGATTTCTAACCACATTTTATCTTGACGGACGATAATCAAAGATGAAAATGACATTTCTCGTAAATTTTGAAGTATGCTTAGTGGAAAAGTCAAAAGTTTGTTAACTTTTTCCACCAATTAAAAATTCCTATCACTAATTTTGCCGTTCCGAATGCTTACATTCAAATTTGAGGAACAAACTTCTAAGCTAATTGAAACCACTAATTTATTCCACGAATTGCATGGTTCTGAATGAAGCTTAAGATTAAGGATACGATTGAAAATATTTAAAACTAAATTTGCAAACTGTTGTTAAAAGGCATCGTTATAATAGTATCGTAAAATTTTAGACATTTTAAAATATATACAGACTAGTGTATATATGCCTACTAAATATATTTCTCTCCTTGTTTCAGGCCAATCAGAACTTCTACAAATCCATGGTCGAACTCTACGTGTACCTGGATCGTCTGAAAGACCTCAAGATCACCACCAACGCGCAGTTCAACTTCGACAAGCGCCGCTCCATCTACGAGGACACGAAAAACACGCTCAGACTCACCATCTGCGAATTCAACGACACCATCAGGAAACAGTTGAAGGTTCCGAACATGTTCGACGCCTCCAAGCAGCCCACCGTGAAAACGGGCTGTTTGCCGAAAGAGGCCGACCTCAGCAAAGTGCAGATGCTCGACCTACAGTTTTTCGATAAGCTGATGAGATTTTTCAAGCAGGGCAAAAGACATTTAAAGAAGTTGAAACGGAATAATAGGGGCAACAGTAGAGTGAACGGTGGTAAAAAACATCGGACGTAAAATGCGGGAGTGTTATAGTTTAAATTGTATATCAGAAGATATTGAAGTTCTACTCTTCTAAGAATATCTGGCTGTGATTTAGATTTAAGATATATTTATTATTTTTTAACTTATTTATTTATTTTTTTTTTGCTTTTTTTTGTGATTTATTGAATGTATGGCCCAGTACTATTGACACTTATACACTTGATCTTTTTTTATTCTATAAGGCTGCGCTACTTATTAACATTTAGAATCAGTAATTACTTAAAATTATTTTATGTTTTTTTGCCAAGTACTTTACCAAAATATATTTTATAGAATTTTACTTCGGAGCAATGTTCCGCATAAAAGGAAAATAGCCAGGGTGCATCTGGTTTTGGATGATTTGAGATAAATAATACGATAAGAAAATAAAATTTGACACTCGAAACGTAATTTTAACGACTCGAAACGTTTAGGAAGCTCGCTTATTGCATTATTTTGTATATGTGTAATTTATTATGTAAAGACTGTTTCATTAATATGTAGATATCACGTGCTTTAGAAATTTATACCAAAGCAATGGTAAAGCAATCGAAAGATAAAGATGAGCACGATATGAACGATGGTATTTCTTCATTCCTTTTATGTAAAATGTATTATACCATGTGATATACTTTGTATTTATTTATTTATTTTAATATTGTTTAATATTTAAGAATCGCCAACCCGTTTACGAATATCATTTAACCTAAAATGTATTATTTTGTCAGTATTATTAAATCGATCTAAGTTTTTGATATTTTTGTAAATAAAACAAACATTGTTTTGAAGATAAATGGTGTATTATTTCTTATTTTTGTATCAACCTGTGTCCTAGAATGTATTTATCCTAATCATAATCGTATGATAGATTTATTACATCAACAAACAAATCTTGCTTTACTCAAACTAATATGATTATACATCGTATACAAAAAATAAAACACTAATTTACCAAAATACGCCAAAGTACTTTACTTGTAACACTGGACGCGCGTTTTACTAACCATGTTAGAATCATTAGTAGATGATTAAAGACGGTTATGTGATTAAAAATGATTGATTAAAATCTGCTGCTAAAAAATGTTAATGATGCTAAAATAGTTAGCAAAACGAGAGTTTAGTGTTAAAAGTAAAGTGTTTCGGCGTATTGTGGTGAATTATTATTTTTCTATTGAACGTCAATTTCGATGAGAGTATAATAATTTGGTAAATAAATTGACATTATGTAATATCGTTATTAGAAAAAAAATAGCTTCCAATAGTAAATTGACAATTAATTTAATTAATTAAAAAATATATGGATATCTTAAAAAATATATGAACCGATCGACAAAGGATTTCATCATTTATTATTTGTTATAAATTGTGCTGAAATGAAACTTAGTTAGTTCAACCTTGTTTGCCATGTGCCACTCCTTCTTTTGAGTAGTCGCTTCCGCATCCTCACCAAGAGCTAGAGCTATAGCAATTTTATCATCATAATTTTCAGCTTATTTAACCATTTCCAAAACACGCTCAGACTCACCATCTGCGGATGCAACGACACCATCAGGAAACAGTTGAAGGTTCCGAACATGTTCGACTCATCCAAACAGCCCACCGTGAAAAAAGGCTGTTTGCCGAAAGAGGCCGGCCTCAGCAAAGTGCAGATGCTCCACCTACAGTTTTTCGATAAGCTGATGAGATTTTTCAAGCAGGGCAAAAGACATTTGAAGAAGCTGAACCGGAATAATAGGGGCAACAGTAGAATGAACGGTGGTAAAAAACAGCGGAAGTAAAATAGGGAGCGTTATAGTTTCAATTGTGTATTAGAAGATATTGAAGTTCTACTATTCTAAGAATATCTGGCTGTGATTTAGATTTAAGATATATTTATTATTTTTTAACATAGTTATTTATTTTTTTTGCTTTTTTGTGATTTATGAATGTATAGCCCAGTACTATTGATACTTATACACTTGATCTTTTTTTATTCTATAAGGCTGCGCTACTTATTAACATTTAGAATCGGTAATTACCCTAAAATTCTTTTTAACGACTCGAAACGTTTAGGAAGCTAGCTTATTGCATTATTTTGTATATGTGTAATTTATTTTGTAAAGACTGTTTCATTAATATGTAGATATCACGTATTTTTGAAATTTAAACCAAAGCAATGGTAAGGCAATCGAAAGATAAAGATGAGCACGATACGAACGATGGTATTTCTTCATTCCTTTTATGTAAAATGGTATTATACCATGTGATATACTTTGTATTTATTTATTTATTTTAATATTGTTTAATATTTAAGAATCGCCAACCCGTCTACGAATATCATTTAACCTAAAATGTATTATTTTGTCAGTATCATTAAATCGATCTAAGTTTTTGATATTTTTGTAAATAAAACAAACATTGTTTTGAAGATAAATGGTGTATTATTTCATATTTTTATGTCAACCTGTGTCCTAGAATGTTTCAATACTATTCGTAGTCGTATTATAGATTTATCACATCAACAAAACAAACAAATCTAAAAAAAACTAATATGATGGTGTGATTTGCTGTTGCAATACCAAAAATTCGATGCCACAACTGTAATCATTTATGTGCAGTTTAAAATGATAGTTGGACGTCAATTTTGATGAGAGTATATAATTTATGAACAAATTGACAAATAATGTAGAATGGTTACTAGAAAAAAATACTCCTAACAGTAAATTTCAGGATGAATTATAATTAACTTAGAAATGTATGGATATCTTAAAAAACATCTTATGAACCCAATCGACAAGGGATTTCATCCTTGATTATTTTTTATAAATTGTGCTGAATTCACTCTTAGTTTTCCTTTTCAACCATGTTTGCCATGTGCCTTTTGAGTTAGCGCTTCTGCAACCTCACCAAGAACTACAGCTAGAGCGATTTATTGTCTGTAAAATTAACCATTCCAGAAACTTTTAGAGAAAATTACTAAATCAGCAGACAATTTTTGACTGATATGTATTTAATAGATGGTTATTTTCTTTTATCTATGGATATGTATGACCTGTCACATGTTTACAGAATGAGATTGTAGGGCAGGGGAACTAAGCTGTTACTAACAAATGTGAATAGGTCTGATAGATGGGGGAAGTACAGAGTGGGTCAAATTCGACGCTTTTAAATGAAAATACCCTTTTCTATAGGAGATAGACAAAAACTAATATCGGTGTCTGGAGCTCAATTTTTGTCAAAAACATGATGGTGAAAACCGCATATCGATATCTGTTGCCGCTTCGGAGTTACGGGGTGTTTTTCAAAAATATGCATTTTTAACAAATCGCTGTAACTTTTTTGCTATGGAAAATTTTCTATTTTTATGAAAACATTTCCAAAGCACCTTTTTACGTAGAATTTAATGGTTTTTTAATATTTTTTTAAAATTAATAAATTAAGAATTATCAACAGAAAATTTGATTTTTTTATATGGGACGCCCTGTATATTTTCAATTTATTGAAAATAATTTAAAATTACCTTTCCAAAAATATAACACACTTGATATTTTACTCGATTCCCCTTCGAGATATAGAGTCTATAAAAATTCACCTGCTTTAAATAAGTAGGCTTTGAACGGCACCGGCGGTAATGCAAAGAAATTCTAGCTGTGAGCCTCAATTAAAACGAAAATAATATTTGCTATGAGAGATGTAGAATTTTATAACAATTTAAAATATATTTAACCAACAACAACACATTTAAACTATATCTAATAACAATAAAAATAAATAGCAAACCAAGACATGAGATTTTGCTACAGGTGTTTGACTTATCGACAGTCTTCTGTTATGGACAGACCGGGCAGGTTTTGAACATTTTTTTCGCGGAATTCATTAACTCAGTGGGGGTGAAAGATACCCTCTCATAACTGTTCATTCTGGTCTGGATTGTCTAGATCTTGTCTAGATTATACGGAAGAATAAGGAACCTTTATTCTTCCGCAAATATATCCATAGGATTAGATCCATGGGCATTAAGTCAGGCGGTCTCGACGGCCAACGGCTGGAATCTTGGTTAGCTACTCAATTATTCTTGAAATTGGCTGCAAAAATTTGCTGATAACTTCAGCGTTCAGAGGCGGTGCGTCGTCTTGCTGGAAAAAATATGTTTTCGAGTTCCATTAAGGGCATATTATCAACAAGGGGTCCAAGCCTACTAGTTAAATGTGGCAAACTTTTAAAAATTCTGTATTTCGAAGGGGTTTATAACAAAATATCAAGTGTGCTAGATTTTTGAAAAGGTAATTTTAAATTCTTTTCAGTTAATTTAAAATATAGAGGGTGTCCCAAATAAAAAATCAATTTTTCTGTTGATAACTCTTAAATTATTAATTTTAAAAAAATTATACTCATACCATTAAATTCTACGTAAAAAGGTGCTTTGGAAATGTTTTCATAGAAATACAAAATTTTCCATAGCAAAAAAGTTACAGCGATTTGTTAAAAATGCACATTTTTGAAAAACACCCCGTAACTTCGGAACAGTAACAGATATTGATGTGCGGTTTTCACCATCATGTTTTTGATGAAAATTGAGCTCCAGACACCGATATTAGTTTTCGCCTATCTCCTATAGAAAAGGGTGTTTCCATTTAAAAGCGTCTTAGTTTCAACCTCGGTTTAAACCAAAATTTTTTGATAGCATGGCAACATAGGCAATAGATTAAATTTACAAGAAAGAAAATCCAGCAAAATTCCAGTGGTTCTCAAAATTTTAGCAAAGAATCATCTTTTTTTGGAAATCTTCAAAGTAAAATAACTCAGTTATTTTGGATTTATCTTGAAAACGGTAAAGAGAAAATATATTTCTTTTGTCGAGATCTACCAGCCCTGATAATATGTGCACTTATTTAAGATTCACCCTGTATAGGTATAAAAAAAGATTAATTTTTTTAGAAATTTTATATTGACGCCTTTTAAAGTAAGATTAATAATTCATAAAAATATCATGTCTCCCGTCTAAAAATGACAATTAAGTATAGAAGCAAAAATCTCTAGATAATGTATATAACTCATAAAGTACACACAATATTCTATTGTAATTTAAAATTTGGCAAAATTTAGTCACATATGATTTTTATGAATAATTCCATTATTACTAATACAACATATATTTAAACTATTTTAGATTAAATTTTTGTAAAACATCAGAGTTTCCTTTGCTGTCAGCATAATATGCAAGCGCACTGTATTATAGATATTCGAATTAGTATATTTTCATATATTTTTTACAAGCAGAAAAGAAGAACATCCTCAAGTTCTCTTACCTTTTTAACTAGATCATTTCTAGAAGCAACTAAAAGATAGATATATAAAAAAGAAATTCTGAAATGTTCACCCATTCTAAAAGCCTACTTTATACTAAAAAAGTAATTTTATTGATAATTTTAAGAACCATATAATTTTTATATTAGAATGTTTATTTTTTGCGTAAGATAACTGATAAGTGATAACAAAATAGAGAATAAATTCGGGAATTACCAGTTGTTAAAGATAATACATGATAAACCTGGTAAACAATAATGCAGATTACATCTATAAGTAACCATATTAATTATTGCAAATTATTTTTTAATTATTTAAAATCATAATACATATTACAAATGCGATATAAGTCTAATAAAGTACTAGATTGGATTAACTTGTAAAATGTTGCATAAAGAATCCACTAAAAATTGTAATACTCTTTTCTTTTTTTAAGTGCCTCGTAAAATTAATTTTGTTTAAAATATTCCTAAAAAAGTACTACATCCAACACTAAACTGCA